TATAGTTTATTTTATTGCAGTAACAGTACACTCTTAGCACCTTTTTTTCTATCTAGAACCAAAAGGGGTTATTCTGCTGTCCCCATAGGAGAACCCTTTGAAGAACCACTTTTGGTTCCAGGTAGAACTCTTTTGGGTTCCATGTAGATGGAACCCAAAAGAGTTCTACCTGGAACCCAAAAAGGTTTTACCTGGAACCAAAAAGGGTTCTCCTATGGGGACAGCCGCAGTGTAGTGGTGACTGTAGAAATAGTAGTATTGCTTGTAGTAGTACAGCATCAGTAATGTAATGTACTGTAATGGTAGTAGTAGTGACTGTAGTGGAAGTAGACTGTACTGCCTGAAGTACAGTAATATTGACTTTATAATGTTTTATTGAGTATTTTCAACAGTCGGAAGATTTGGTTTGAACAGTGGATTCACTCCACAGAGACCCCAGCGTTGAGCTGAGCGCAAATGCAGATCCGAGTCACATGGAATCATGGTAAACGATGTCACGCTGCTTGCTTACCAAGTACCGCTTCCCCCTAATTTGGCTATTAACAAAGCTCGAACTCAGGACCTCTGCCTCGCAAACACACGTGACCACTCTCCTGAAGCGTCTCTACCCATTGCTATATTGAAAATTGCGTAAGGTGAAACACTTCAGGCTGAGGAGTGAATTTCACATATTCCCCATCTGCTTCACATGCTTATGTAGAGGGATAAATTATGAAAAGGGTATTCTGACTTTGATTCACTTTTTCTATTCTAGTGACAGACGTAACAGAACCAGTAAACGAAACTATGACGGCTGCCCCTACACCTGTTATGACAACAAGAGGTAATAATGCTGCACCCCATGTGATATGATAAATAGGTCTACAGTACCCTATAGGGGAGAGTGGGGTATGTTGAGCCATTTTTTACATTTAGCATCACTACGTCAAGGAAATATAGTATTCTTTCTAACAAATATATCTACATACAGTGAGGGAAAAAAGTATTTGATCCCCTGCTGATTTTGTACGTTTGCCCACTGACAAAGACATGATCAGTCTATAATTTTAATGGTAGGTTTATTTGAACAGTGAGAGACAGAATAACAACAAAAAAATCCAGAAAAACGCATGTCAAAAATGTTATAAATTGATTTCCATTTTAATGAGGGAAATAAGTATTTGACCCCTCTGCAAAACATGACTTAGTACTTGGTGGCAAAACCCTTGTTGGCAATCACAGAGGTCAGACGTTTCTTGTAGTTGGCCACCAGGTTTGCACATATCTCAGGAGGGATTTTGTTCCACTCCTCTTTGCAGATCTTCTCCAAGTCATTAAGGTTTTGAGGCTGACATTTGGCAACTTGAACCTTCAGCTCCCTCCACAGATTATCTATGGGATTAAGGTCTGGAGACTGGCTAGGCCACTCCAGGACCTTAATGTGCTTCTTCTTGAGCCACTCCTTTGTTGCCTTGGCTGTGTGTTTTGGGTCATTGTCATGCTGGAATACCCATCCACGACCCATTTTCAATGCCCTGGCTGAGGGAAGGAGGTTCTCACCCAAGATTTGACGGTACATGGCCCCGTCCATCGTCCCTTTGATACGGTGAAGTTGTCCCGTCCCCTTAGCAGAAAAACACCCCCAAAGCATAATGTTTCCACCTCCATGTTTGACGGTAGGGATGGTGTTCTTGGGGTCATAGGCAGCATTCGATTTTGGTCTCATCTGACCACAACACTTTCACCCAGTTCTCCTCTGAATCATTCAGATGTTCATTGGCAAACTTCAGACGGCCCTGTATATGTGCTTTCTTGAGCAGGTGGACATTGCGGGCGCTGCATAATTTCAATCCTTCACGGCGTAGTGTGTTACCAATTGTTTTCTTGGTGACTATGGTCCCAGCTGCCTTGAGATCACTGACAAGATCCTCCCGTGTAGTTCTGGGCTGATTCCTCACCATTCTCATGATCATTGCAACTCCACGAGGTGAGATCTTGCATGGAGCCCCAGGCCGAGAGAGATTGACAGTTTCTTCCATTTGCGAATAATCGCACCAACTGTTGTCACCTTCTCACCAAGCTGCTTGGCGATGGTCTTGTAGCCCATTCCAGCCTTGTGTAGGTCTACAATCTTGTCCCTGACATCCTTGGAGAGCTCTTTGGTCTTGGCCATGGTGGAGAGTTTGGAATCTGATTGATTGATTGCTTCTGTGGACAGGTGTCTTTTATACAGGTAACAAACTGAGATTAGGAGCACTCCCTTTAAGAGTGTGCTCCTAATCTCAGCTCGTTACTTGTATAAAAGACACCTGGGAGCCAGAAATCTTTCTGATTGAGAGGGGGTCAAATACGTATTTCCTTCATTAAAATGCAAATCAATTTATAACATTTTTGACATGCGTTTTTCTGGATTTTGTTGTTGTTATTCTGTCTCTCACTGTTCAAATAAACCTACCATTAAAATTATAGACTGATCATTTCTTTGTCAGTGGGCAAACGTACAAAATCAGCAGGGGATCAAATACTTTTTTCCCTCACTGTATACATTTCCCTCTGTAATTATTGAGAGAGTGAAGCATTTTTTCTTCTTTTGTCTCTATACTTCAAAACCTTGGATTTGAAATCAAACAATGATTATGAGGTTAAAGTGCAGACTGTCAGCTTTAATTTGAGGGTATTTTCATCCATATCGGGTGAACCGTTTAGAAATTGCAGTACTTTTTGTACATAGTCCCTTCATTTTAGGGGAACAAAAGTATTGGGACAAATTCACTTATATTGTATTAAAGTAGTAAAAAGTTTAGTATTTGGTCCCATATTCATAGCGGTTCACCGGATATGGATGAAAATACCTTCAAATTAAAGCTGACAATCCGCACTTTAACCTCATAATGATTGTTTCATTTAAAATCCAAACTTTTGCAGTATAGAGCCAAAAGAAGAAAAGATTGTTCACATCTCGAGTTCATATGCATGACATTTTTCTAAAATACTATGCATATTACTGACAAAATGTAATCATCATTTGTATGGGGTATGTTCAGCCTTTGGCTCAACTTGCCCCTGGCCAAATGGCACAATTGCCACAATTTACCCCAAAGCAACGTTTTGATTATATTAGCCCACACAGCTACAAGTATTAGGGTTGCAAAGCTACCGGATAATTTACCAAAGTTACCGGAATCTTCAGTAATTTTGGTAATTAACTGTGATGAGGTGTGAATGACAGAGTCAGGCGAAGGAGGTAAAACACCGAAATCCAGAGTTTATTCAGTGTACATGAATAAAGTGCAGCAAGCGTCAAAACGAAACTAGCACAAGGGAAAAATCCACCTTGGCTACATACAAGGAAAGAGTAGCTCAACCTAGCTACTCACTCTACCAATGAACAATCACTCACAAAGGACAAGCGGGCAGAAGGAACACTTATACACAGACTAATGAGGGAATGAGTACCAGGTGTGTGTGATTGACAAGACAAGACAAGACAAGACAAGACAAATGGAGTGATGATAAATGGAGCGGTAGTGGCTAATAAGCCGGTGACGACGAACGCCGAAACCTGCCCGAGCAAGGAGGAGGGGCAGCCTCGGCTGATTTCGTGACATTAACAAAAAACCTATGGCAATCTATTGTAACTTTGGTCATTTATACTTGAATAACTTTTTTTATGTATTTATATATAGTATTAATTTATTATATCTGTGTCCACATTGTCAATGAGTTTGTAGTGGATAGACCTTATGGTTCAAGAGAAAATAACCTAATTAATTAAAAAAAGAATTACATCAAATGACATCAAATCCTTGAAAGATACCAAAATTCTGGTAGTTTACTGGTAAACATCGGAAGTTTCCAGTAATATACCCTCCCTTTGCAACCCTAACAAGGATGCACTTTCATGCTAGGTTTAGGACCTCATATTGTAGCTTATAGAGAACCCAACTAATGTATAAAACAGTCTTAAAACTATCTACTTTGGTTTAGATACAAGCATCATGAAACGCAAACACAAATTCATTTGACATTGTGAAAATCAGTTTTTTGGACCTAATTAGCTAAGATTTTTCATGTGGTTTCTTCCTTCACAGACAAATGATGATCGATGACGATTTATCCCACTCTCTCCTACTGCTTGTAGTTGAATCAGAGCCCTCTCCCCTACTTTTAGTTAGTGATGGGAAGATTGGGTCTTTTTACTGACTCTGATCTTTTCAACTTTTCAAAAGAACAAATCTATAGACTCTTTATATTAGTTCCTTTGATTCAATAATGCCCAGAAGCCAAAGCATGCAGGACCCCTACCAGCGAACGATGAACTGAAAACTTGAAAGAATCATGATTCTACAAGACTCTCATTCACATTAGGAGGCTTAGTGGAGCTGTCATTTGTTACTGAGACTAATAAAAGTGTGCTTCAAACAATGTACATTTGTGATTGCTAAACATACAAATAAGATTAGTTCTTGATGCCTTTAAAACTAGTTTTAGTTGCAGCCGCAACCGGACTAAATCGCGAATGACTCGTTTTGGCGGAATGCAATTGCTTGGCTACTGCAGGGAGATTAGCAGATTATCGCTAATATTAACTGCAGCGACCCCCCCGAAACAATTAGTTATTGAGTTTGAGTTTGTTGAGCAGAAGCAGGCTCTGTATGTTTTGGTATTACACAGCCGTGTCCATCAATAACCTTCAATTATAAATTCATTGCATTCAAAATTAACAAATTACTCGTAAAAACAAACCATGACTCGAGTCAGTAAAAAGAGTTGTGCAGTTTGAGAACGATTTGTTCTCACTACTTTCAGTGAGCGTGAAATAAACACCCCAGAGGCTAATGGGTAGGCCAACAGCTTTTTTAGACATTGGGATATTTACTTATTATTCATAATGATGTACTACTTTATTTTCTATTTATAGATTGTGCAACAACACCTTTTTGCCATCAAGCACACCATGAAGACTTTTCTCTTCTCTATTTTGACATGTACCCCTGTCAATCTTTATGTCTTCTCCAGAGATGCCCACCATCCGCATGGTGAATGGCATCAACAGCTGCCAGGGCCGTGTGGAGGTGTTCCACATCAACCAGTGGGGCACGGTGTGTGATGACAGCTGGGACCTTCAAGATGCCCAGGTGGTGTGTAGGCAGCTGGGCTGTGGCCCCGCCATCTCAGCCATGGCTATGGCCTACTTCGGCCCCGGCTTGGACCCTATCCTCCTAGATGACGTAGACTGCAAGGGAAGTGAGATAGATCTCACAAACTGCTCTCACTTGGGCTGGGGAATGCACGAACTGTGTCCACGATGAGGACGCTGGAGTCATCTGCACAGGTAAGGTATTCGATTCTGAGGAGATGTGCGCTTTTACTTATCAATGGCGAACATGTACAGTTGAAGTCAGAAGTTTACATACACCTTAGCCAAATACATTTAAACTCAGTTTTTCACAATTCCTGACATTTAATCCTAGTAAAAATGTCCCTGTCTTAGGTCAGTTAGGATCACCACTTTATTTTAAGAATTTGAAATGTCAGAATAATAGTAGAGAGAATGATTTATTTCAGCTTTTATTTCTTTCATCATATTCCCAGTGGGTCAGAAGTTTACATACACTCAATTAGTATTTGGTAGCATTGCCTTTAAATTGTTTAACTTGGGTCAAATGTTTCGGGTAGCCTTCCACAAGCTTCCCACAATAAGTTGGGTTAATTTTGGCCCATTCCTCCTGACAGAGCTGGTGTAACTGAATCAGGTTTGTAGGCCTCCTTGCTCGCACACGCTTTTTCAGTTCTGCCCACAACTTTTCTATGGGATTAAGGTCAGGGCTTTGTGATGGCCACTCCAATACCTTGACTTTGTTGTCCTTAAGCCCTTTTGCCACAACTTTGGAAGTATGCTTGGGGTCATTGTCCATTTGGAAGACCCATTTGCGACCAAGCTTTAACTTCCTGACTGATGTCTTGAGATGTTGCTTCAATATATCCACATAATTTTCCTTCCTCATGATGCCATCTATTTTGTGAAGTGCACCAGTCCCTCCTGCAGCAAAGCACCCCCACAGTATGAAAAATGAATGCACTCACTAAAATTGTAAGTCGCTCTGGATAAGAGTGTCTGCTAAATGACTAAAATGTAAAATGTAAATGATGCTGCTACCCCCGTGCTTCATGGTTGGGATGGTGTTCTTCGGCTTGCAAGCAATTCCTTTTTTCCTCCAAACATAAAGATTGTCATTATGGCCAAACAGTTCTATTTTTGTTTAATCAGATAAGAGGACATTTCTCCAAAAAGTACAATATTTTTCCCCATGTGCAAACCGTAGTCTGGCTTTTTTTATATGGCAGTTTTGGAGCAGTGGCTTCTTCCCTGCTGAGCGGCCTTTCACGTTATGTCGATATAGGACTCGTTTTCCTGTGGAAATAGATACTTTTGTACCTGTTTTCTCCAGCATCTTCACAAGGTCCTTTGCTGTTGTTCTGGGATTGATTTGCACTTTTCGCACCAAAGTACGTTCATCTCAAGGAGACAGAACGTGTTTCCTTCCTGAGCGGTATGACGGCTACGTGGTCCCATGGTGTTTATACTTGCGTAGTATTGTTTGTACAGATGAACGTGGTACCTTCAGGCATTTGGAAATTGCTCCAAAGGATGAACCAGACTTGTGGAGGTCTACAATTGTTTTTCTGAGGTCTTGGCTGATTTCTTTTGATTTTCCAATGATGTCAAGCAAAGAGGCACTGAGTTTGAAGGTAGGCCTTGAAATACATCCACAGGTACACCTCCAATTGACTCATATGATGTCAATTAGCCTATCAGAAGCTTCTAAAGCCATGACATCATTTTCTGGAATTTTCCAAGCTGTTTAAAGGCACAGTCAACTTCTGACCCACTGGAATTGTGATACAGTGAATTATAAGTGAAATAATCTGTCTGTAAACAATTGTTGGAAAAATTACTTGTGTCATGCACAAAGTAGATGTCCTAACCGACTTGCCAAAACTATAGTTTGTTAACAAGAAATTTGTGGAGTGGTTGAAAAACGAGTTTTAATGACTCCAACCTAAGTGTATGTAAACTTCTGACTTCAACTGTAAGTGTTGTTATTGTGAAGTGGAAACGTCTAGGAGCAACAACGGCTCAGCCGCGAAGTAGTTGAGCCACCCCTTGTTTCTAGGAAACCAGAATGTGCTTGAGCACTCTGCGGTCCCGTTCTGTCAGCTTGTGTGGCCTACCACTTCGCGGCTGAGCCGTTGGTGCTCCTAGACGTTTCCATTTCACAATAACAGAACTTACAGTTGACTGGGGCAGCTCTAGCAGGCCAGAAATTTGACGAACTGACTTGTTGGAAAGGTGGCATCCTATGACGGTGCCACGTTGAAAGTCACTGAGCTCTTCAGTAAGGCCATTCTACTGCCAATGTTTGTCTATGGCGATTGCATGGCTGTGTGCTCGATTTTATACACCTGTCATCAACGGGTGTGGCTGAAATAGCCAAATCCACTAATTTGAAGGGGTATCCACATACACTATATATACAAAAGTATGTGGACCACTCTTGCTTTGGTACCACTGATGAATTCAGCCTTATCCCCAGATAAATAGCATGATGGTCTACCTGTCTGTGCTGTCTATTGACAGAGACAGAAACTAAGAGGAAAGTGATTGTGAGAGTGGAGCTGACCCCTGATTCACCTACGAACTTCAGTGATCCTGCCGTGAGTGAGGCCATCTTGCAGCAGGTGAGTCTCACCCTCTACTCAACTGTATGTTGGGCTTTCTCAACTGGCGGACTCCCGTCCCAGCAGGAACAGACCCAAAGTCCAATGCAATTCTTTACAAACATATTTCAGCTTTAAAATGCAGTCATAGATCAATTAAGAGTATATTATGGAACCCTACAATAGTATATCATATATTCAGTAAATGACGGTCTCTGCTTTTCAGATGAAAGCCAAACTGAGAGCTCAGGGGATGTCTGACGACATCAAACTGAGTTGGAAAGTGCAGCCGGATGAAGAGATTTTCCACAAGAAGGAGAAGGGAAAGAAGAGCCCGAAAAAGAGGAGGAAGAGGTCAGAACTTTAAATACACATAGGCAAATATACACAGTGTACAAAACATTAAGAACACCTTCCTAATATTGATGTACTATGCACTGTATTCATTGATTATTTATTTGTTATTATCTACAGTAACTGCTATGATAATGCTTGATATTGAACTATAAAGCTTACTATTGAATTTCTTTATATAATCATAACATATATTATTCTTGCTTAGAATAATTCAGAAAAAAAAAGTTATTGTAAATGTGTGATATACAGTTCAATAATTGAAATAAAATGTTTAAAGGACACAGGACTATTTTTATCTATAATTTACACGATAATGAATTACTTGAATTAGCATGGAGCCTTACTTGAAATGTGAGTGAGATATAGGAGTAACGATGAAAGACAGGGACAAACTTGCACACATTTATCTAGTAAAACATGGTCATTCTTTGAACTTACATTTCTATTTGAGGCATACCTCAGAGCTTTTCTCATTGCTTCCGAGGTGGAACTGCTTTAGAGCTGTCAAATCCACAAGCGGCTCCCGGCGTTATACCTAAAGCGGACATTGCCATAACCCAATGCAGTGCCACCTCCAACACCGTCAAAATGACGTCTGGGACCGTCAAGATGCCAAGGTGGTGTGTAGGCAGCTGGGCTGTGGACCCACCCTCTCAGCCAAGACTCAGGCCTACTTCGGCCCCGATCCTCCTAGACAACATGGTTTTGCGAGGGAAGTGAGATAGATCTCACAAACTGCTCCCACTCAAGCTGAGGAAAGCCCAACTGAGGACGCTGGAGTCAACTGCACCACATGTAAGACTGGGGCTCTGATTCAGGTTTTATGTAGACCCATCACAAGAGGGTTCTAAGTTGAACCAGGCGTCTAAGTAGGAACCTTTTTGGTGCTACTTAGAACCTATTTTGGAACTTTTTGTTTTATCCCTGTAGGCAGGTGTCAAACCAAAGATGTAAATATAAACTCAACTACCTACTTTGGCAAATAACAGTAGTGTTTTTGCTTTCAGCAAGCACACTAATAAGTCACAAGTATGTCAAGTAATAGCACACTAATAGCATGATGGTATATCCGTTTGTGTTGCCAATAGGTACAGAGACAAAGTGTCACAGCTCCTTCCCCCACTAAGACTCCTGTGGAGAAGAAAGAGATCGTACTTTTCCTTGTGCGAGCATGTGCGTGCTTTCTTGATCCCATTGTTTAGGAAGTATATTGGTAGTGGGGTAGGTTTCTCAAAACCAAACTGAAATCACAAAAGAAGTGTCTGGACACTTCTATAACATGCCATTTACATGAAAAATTGAAATGTGGTTAGCAAAAAGTGGACTGCTTTAAGTCAGATTTTCACACAAATGCATTAATGTTAATCAGAGATTTGCGCAAAACTCAAGTTATGCGAACGGATCTCAAGTTAGGATTCAGCCCTTCATGAATAGCCCTATATAAACCATTAATATATAGTTATATACACAGCAGTGATGAACACCAATGAAATACTAATCATAACCAAATAGGAAGAGGAACATATGCATATCTGTCACAGATGAACTGACACAAAAAGTGTGACTGAATCTCTTTTTAATAAAATAGAAAATTCATACGTTTTTGTTTTTCCATTACATTTAAGAAAAATAAATGCAGATAAAATAGTGACACACTCAGCTGTTCAGTGGTTGATCTGGAGTGAGAAAAGATAACCAGCAAAGACAAAAGGAAAATGAGTACGTACGTATACATACGTATTATGAATGCAAAAAATACAATTTTGTACACAAAATGTGCCACTGGTAAAATGTACTGGCCGTTGAATCATTCAATTTAAAATCAGGCCGATGGACAGAAAGAGGAAAAAGACACACTAACGCAAATCTCCAGACTCAAGATCACTGCGTTCACTGGACTATTAGCACTTAAATCACTCAAAAAATATTATCAGCTTGCTGAAACGTAACTGAAATGTACAAAGAAAAAGCATCATTACCTAGTAGAGGTTTACATCTGGTAGTGAAATGACTTGGTGAATTCAGAAGAGATCACAGCTACTGTAATACACCATCTCTGGCCATGGAAAGTAAACTGTAAAATATTTGAATATATAAAAACAATATTAGGGGTGCTAAACAAATCCAACATTGCATGGACCGTATCATTCAAATGGATACTCATAACAAAAGTCGTTTTATTTAATCGGAGATAAGAATTCCTACAGTTAAAAGAAAGATAAGAGGGGTCGAAGTTGACTTATTGCTTTATAAATGGCTTTATAAAAAGGTTAGAATCATTTGGTGAAGAGTACAGAATAAACCAGGTCATTTCACCACTGTGTAAAAGTAAAAAGCCTCCTGGACAGTGCAGTAACGATCTAGCAACATACACCATAGTACAATCATGTGTTACTCTGCAAAACAGAGTTAAATATGAAGAGAAGATTTAGCTAGGAAACCCTGGTGTTTCCAGGTCCACAGAGTTCGTTTGTTTCGTTTTGAGACTCAACATTCAAATTGTTGAAATGGACATTTCTCTTTTCTTCAACACTTTTCTACAAGCAGTTGCTTCACAGCCCAAAGACCATAGGGAGAAGCAAAGTCCCACTAAAAACAATACTTGCCATGATGATGCCAATTAAAACTGTGCTGTGCGTTAATAGCGGCAGTCCTATAGCGCTGCAGGACTAGTACTTCAACCCTCTTTACATAGACATTTTGTAACCTGAGGAGAAAACCTCTACCATCAACATGGATTATTAAAATGGTGTAAAACAAATGCCATTTTATTTGCATTGTTGTGCCTTTTGAACCAATTGGAGCAGAAAATTAAAAACACTTTTGCACTAGGAGTCGCGTCATAATGAGAGGTGATTTGTAGGGTCCTGTGTTTTGCGAAAACATGTGACATGCCTGGATTTGAGCCTTTATTTAAAGCTTTAACATCAAACTGTCACCTTTTCTTTTTATGTCAGATGATCCAGCACCATCCTCAGACAATAGCTTTCATTTTTGGTGCAATTCTCATTTCTGGATAAGGCTTAAAATACAGGTTCAAATCTTGCTATGACACATGAATGTGCAAAACATAGGGCCCTAGAATTTGGTAGATGTGGTTCTAATCTGTGTTCCAACGTAACGGTCATGGTTCGGGCACTGCATTCAAGTAAAACGTTAATAATGCTTTGGAAGTTAGGTCCCATCTTACAATAAGTGTCCCAAACGACTACCTATGGTAGTTACATAGGCAGGTACAATGTTATTACAGTACAGGCCTATGTACTGTATTGTTAGAGTACTTCAACCGTCAGGCCCCTTGGCAGTTTGTGTAATTATAAATATTAAGATTTTTAAACAAACTCAAATAAATTGTGGCTAAACCTCTCATGCAAATTATTTTTGAGGTATTTGTAAATACTTTAAATTGTGAATGTCACTAACAATGTGTACCTACACAGCAATTTAGTTTTTGTAAGTACTATATACTATTAGGCACACTTATTGTAAAGTTAGACCAGAAATCATATTCAGTTGTAAATAAAAAATAAAAAGGTTTAAGGATTTACCTATATATCCATATCCCTCTTTCACGATTTTATAAATTCATGTTTAAAAAAAAAGGTTTTCATCTAATTCATTTTTAATAGATACTGACCCTTCAATCACCTAACACATCCATCTTAAACCACAAACACACACTAAAACGCCAGTCTCACCCTATACCACTCATTGACATCATCCAAACGTTCTTCAACGTTCTTCCGACGCTCACCATCAAATTATCACAACCCCTTTTTCTTCTCCCCCCTCTTTCACCCTCCCCCCTCTTCTCCCCGTTTCCTCCTCTTCCCCCTTGATTCTGTTTCTCCTCTCCAGATCTACAGGTCCTTCTTGGTCTGGCTCTGGTCTGTTCTAGAGGGTTCTCTTTGGTCTGGGCAGAGCAGCTGAAGCAGGTCCAGCAGGGCCTGCCTGATCTGACCTCCATACTTTTGGGAGCCCTAAGAGAGCATGAGAGAGACAGAATAAATGAACAAGAGAAAGACGAGTCCCAAGAATTGTTTGCTTAGCCAAAATATGTATCCGTTATCAAACTCAAAATCTCAATTAGCTTAGGAAATGAAACAATGAGGGCATTGTTTAGGTTTGGACATGTGGTGTAAAGTACCTCCCTGTGGACCGATCAGTGGTACTCACAGTCTGTGGGCAGGAGTGCTTGCAGGAGATGTGGAAGTTGATCATGTTCTCTCCAATGATGATGTAGGACACCCCGTAACCATCGTCTGCCACCTAGGAAAGACGAGCACATACTTCGCTCTCTCGAAGCCCAGCTTTGTAGCACAACACAGCTACAGTATAGGTTGGCATATGCTATAACACGATGTCTTGCGCATGCAGGCTTCTGCACGGAAACACAATCTTTCTCCAAGTTGAGCTGATATGCTCGTTGACAAATGATGTACTAATGTTGTAAGCATTCGGTTATTCCACCAAGTTATGCAATTAAAGAGGTGTTTGGAGACAAAGTGAGAGACCGAGAGGTACTGACCGGGCCAAAGCCTCCGCCACAGGAGATGTACTCTGGGTGGTTGACCATGTCAAACAGCTCCACCTGCTGGACAGGAGTCTGACTGGTGGAGAGATGCCATGGCTCGGACAGCACCTGGGACAACACAGGCAGGGACAGTGTTGTTACTCTACTAAGCTAGACATGTCACCACAGAGATGATCAAACATGGCTGATGTTATAATTAAGCAATAAGGCCTGAGGAGGTGGTATATGGCCAATATACGGCTAAGGGCTGTTCTTAGGCACAACGCAAACCCTGAGGTGCCTTATTGCTATTATAAACTGGTTGGTTACCAACATAAATATAACAGTAAACAAGTATTTTTGGGTCATACCTGTGGTATATTGTCCATTATACACACTGCTGAAATGCTGTTTCAGCCTATCAGCATCCAGAAACCACACTACCCAGTTTATAATACAACGTTGTTGTAACAAAGGCTGTTGCGCAAAAGGTGTTTCTGACTACTGCCAAATGAATATGTCAGTGCAGATTTTTCTCTGATTATAATATATACCACTGTGTTTTCTGGAACTATTTATTTAAAAAAGACTATCTTCTGATATATATCATGGATATAATTATTATTTATTTGTGTAAGACTGAACTGCTTAAAAAAACAACAGAGCCATGAGTCAGTCGTATGGAATCGAAATGTTCTTACAGAAAAGCAACACAAAAAAACCCACACCTCTTTCAGGAAGGGAGAGTCCACGCCAAGGTATTTGGAGACCACGTAGAGACAGAAGAGGTGCCTGTCGATGCCGGCGCCGGTCATGGCATGTTTGTACAGGTTCTGGTGCTTCTCTGAGGCTTGGCGGAAAAGCCTCCTGCACACCTCTACCCCCTGGTGGACAGAGGGGGGAGAGAGCGAGCGAGGGAGTTAGGACGAGAGGGGTAGAGAGGGAGTTAGGGGTAGAGAGGGAGTTAGAGAGAGAGGGGAAGGGGGGAGAGGGACAGAAAGAGAAAAAGGGTAAAGAGCAAGAGAGATGAGGGAGAGTAATTTCTTTACGAGTTAACATTGAGTAAATATTATGAGGAAGTATTGTGAGAAAGTATTCCGAGTAAGATTCCATGCTCCCTACCTCTCCTCCCTCCAGGGCTTTGACGAAGGCACAGCTTTCATTGGAGCAGGAGCGCACAGTCTCGGTCCGGCCCTCCCTGAACAGACGGGTCATGGAGGCCTCGTAGGTCAGACAGAACATGCCCCTGTCCTGAGAGGGGAGTGGGGAAAAGGATGGGATGAGAGATTGTAAGGAGGCAACAGAAACGATCATGTTTTGTGCTCATTTACTTTAGTTTACATTTGCCAATGTTAAATTGTTGTTACATTGAAGCCACACTAAGTAACATAGTGCATAGGTCATCCCCCACCACAAAAAAAGTATACGCGTGTGTGTACGTGTGTTAATGTCCGCTTCGAGCGGTCCCCTCACCCTGTAGTAGGCCAGCTGAAGGGCCAGCTGGATGTAGGCGTCGGGACTGATGCGGCACTTCTTGATCCTGCCCTTTCCAAAGTCCCGGAAGGAGAAGACGTGGAAGTCCACATCATCGGCCAGGGCCTGGGCCACCCCCAGAGACTGGGAGATCTGCTCCTGACACTAGGACAGAGAGAGGATGGGAAAAGGCAACACTGGATCATAAGACCACTTGGTGTCAAAGAAGAGTTTAGCGCATGGCCATTGAGGTGTACATGTATATACATTGATGGGAAGAGAATTTGTGTTCTCATTGGAATTACACATTCGTATGATGCACGCATGATGCGTTATGAAATGAACGATTAAGAATATGGGCATTACAATGTCCAGAAAATATTCCTATAGTCAAGGAGAGATTTCCAAAGGATGTGGATGGATAATTGAAAGAATGGATAGATAAATGGATGGATGAAGAAATTAAAGGAAGGAGAAGGAAGGATGGTTCACCTCTGGGGTGATGTCCCAGCTCAGTCTCTGAGGTCGGGGTAGAGAGGCATCCACCTCTCCCTTACAATGGCCCTCTTCATTGTACCCCAGCTGGAAACTGTCTGTGGCCAACACATACTGAAAACAGACAGACAATTCGCTAAGAAAAATGAATTAACTTATTTATTCAGTATAGGTTATATATATACATACATACATATAAAACACAACGTTCAAAGTATGGGTCATTAGAAATGTCACTTGTTTTTGAAAGAAACAGCACATTCTTCCCCATTCAAATAACATACAAATGAATCAGAAATACGGGTCATAGACATGTTATGTTGTAAATGGCTACTGTAGCTGGAAACGTGTTCCAATGACACGTTGTGTTTGCTAATCCAAGTTGATCATTTAAAAAAGGCTAATTGATCATTAGAAAACCCTTTTGCAATTATGTTAGCACAGCTGAAAACTGTTGTGCTGAATAAAGAAGCAATAAAACTGGCCTTCTTGAGACTAGTTGAGTATCTGGAGCATCAGCAATTGTGGGTTCGATTACAGAATCAAAATGGCCAGAAACAAATAACTTTCTTCTGATACTCGTCAGTCTATTCTTGTTCTGAGAAATGAAGGCTATCCATGCGAGAAATTGTCAAGAAACGGAAGATCTCGTACAACGCTGTGTACTACTCCCTTCACAGAACAGCGCAAACTGGCTCTAACCAGAATAGAAAGAGGAGTGGGAGGCCCCGGTGCACAACTGAGCAAGAGGACAAATACATTAGAGTGTCTAGTTTGAGAAACTGACACCTCACAGGTCCTCAACTGGCAGCTTCATTAAATAGTACCCGCAAAACACCAGTCTCAACGTCAACAGTGAAGAGGCGACTCCGGGGTGCTGACGTTCTAGGCAGAGTTGCAAAGAAAAAGCCATATCTCACACTGGCCAATAAAAAGAAAAGATTAAGATGGGTAAAAGAAAACAGACACTGGACAGAGGAAGATTGGAAAAAAGTGTTATGGACAGACGAATCGAAGTTTGAGGTGTTCGGATCACAAAGAAGAACATTTGTGAAACGCAGACCAAATGAAAAGATGCTGGAGAGGTGCTTGATGCCATCTGTCAAGCACGGTGGAGGCAATGTTATGGTCTGCTTTGGTGGTGGTAAAGTGGGAGATTTGTACAGGGTAAAAGGGATCTTGAAGAAGGAAGGCTATCACTCCATTTTGCAACACCATGCCATACCCTGTGGACGGCGCTTGATTGGAGCCAATTTCCTCCCACAACAGGACAATGACCCAAAGCACAGCTCCAAACTATGCAATAACTATTTTGGGAAGAAGCAGTCAGCTGGTATTCTGTCTATAATGGAGTGGCCAGCACAGTCACCGGATCTCAACCCTATTGAGCTGTTGTGGGAGCAGCTTGACCGTATGGTACGTAAGAAGTGCCCATCAAGCCAATCCAACTTGTGGGAGGTGCTTCAGGAAGCATGGGGTGAAATCTCTTCAGATTACCTCAACAAATGGACAACTAGAATGCCAAAGGTCTACAGGGCTGTAATTGCTGCAAATGGAGGATTCTTTTGACGAAAGTAAAAATCATTATTTCTAACCTTGTCAATGACTACATTTCCTATGCATTTTGCTATATTTCCTATTCAAACTCATTTCATGTATGTTTTCATGGAAAACAAGGACATTTCTAAGTGACCCCAAACTTTTGAACGGTAGTGTATATATTGTATATACCCCTTAAACTTAACTCTGGACCTCGAAGCCAGTTCCACTGCATTTTTTCGTTGTTTCCCTCTAATCAGGGACTGATTTAGACCTGGGACATCAGGTAAAACAGAAAACCAGCAGGCTCCGGACCTCGTAGAGTAAGAGTTGAGTACCCCTGGTATATACATTGTACATACGTTTGGAATATATTTAGATATAAAAATAAATAAAAACTCTTACCCTACGAGGTCCGGAGTCTGCTGGTTTTCTGTATATTCATATACATCTATCTATTGTTATATCGTACCTCCCATAAGTGTGCTACCACCGGTGCATCGGCCCATGAGTGCTCAGCGTTCAGACCGATCTTCCCGTTTTTATAGATCACCACGGAGAAAGACTTGTCAAACCACCTGGCAAAAAGAGGACAGTGTGCACAACTGTGATAACCAACGATAACTCTAACAAGGGTAGAACCATGTGAGTGATTGAGGAGGATAGACCTTATTTCATTGAGGTATTAAAGGAAAATAATGAATGAAACATGCTAAAACTGGCTTTGTGGCAAGTGCGCCCTCTATCCATCTCTATGGCTGGAAATAAGCTTTATTTTTTTTTTTTTAAAGGTAACTAGCTACCTTACAATGTCTTAACAGTGTGGAAACCATTAGTCTGGATGACTCACCTGTCGTAACACTTCCCGTGGAGCAGGGACTTGGCGTAACGGTCCAGACTAGCAGCTGAGTCTTCTCCCATCACGCCTTGCTCGTCATCGTCCAAGGTCACAAAGAACGCTGCTTTCTCGATACAGTCGAGCGACCGCTTGTTCACGCCCGAGCTGAAGTATTCCTTCCTGGCCTTAGCCCAGGGAATTCTGAGAAACAAAAGATATTGCTTAGGAGGGACAGGTACAGCCAGGCACACAGACCTGGGTCATGTTCAGTAGGTGGAAAACGTTTCCAGACTGAGTGAAACAGAGAGGTACTACCGGAACCTGTCCAATAAGAAGACCGATTTTTCATATTCCGTTGCAAACGGTTTTGCTATGGTGTGCCCTACTGAACACAACCCAGATATTTTCCATAGGGGATGTTTTGAGCCACTGCTATCAATCAGTTGACTGTATATTTACCAAAACATCTATGACTCACCTGTCTCCAGCCGTCAGGGCCCCCAGCTTCTCCTCTCCCGGGGAGGGGGGCGACGGGTCATCCAGGATCCTCTGGAGCTGTGACTCGATCTCTCGTGGTGACAGCGGCCGGCTAGACGAGTACATCCTCAGGCGGAAGTAGCGCCCCCGGTGGTACACCGCCACATAGTCACTATCCTGCCAGTGCTGCACCGTGTCTACACACAGGAAGAGGGAGAGAGGGGAAGAGGGAGAGAGAGAGAAAGGGGAGAGAGGGAAGAGACAGAAAGTGGGAGGGAAGAGAGAGAGTTATAGTACAGATGCCTTGGAGCAGATGGACAGGGGCAGAGGGTGAGGAAAGGGAGGGAGACTGACAGCCTACAGAGGAAGGAGTAACTGACTGGACACTACAGGACCAGCTGTAGACAAGGGAGCTTTCAACATGACCATCACGGAACAATAATACAGGACCTATATTGATATCAGTAATGCCAATGTCAAAAGCCCCACTTGCTCACAGTGTTTGCTGGCTGGAAAAGAAGATTGAAGTGGGAAACAAATTGCCAGAGTAGGGGACAATATTTTATAGTCATGACAAAGCAATGGTACAGGTTTACAATTCTGGCCATTGGAGGGCGCTTACATCTGCAGGTTCTTATTGTAGTTTCAGCTCAAATCAATAAACTGAAAGATTTGGTTTGAGAGTGTGTATTTAGCAAAGGGAAATAAAGCGGTAGCAAATCGTCCAGTAGCTAATAATTCCCACCAGGAATTCAAATACGATGTGACGCAAGTCCCTAAAATCAGCTTTAAATTACAGTACCAGTCAAAGGTTTGGACACACCTACTCATTCAAGGGTTTTTCTTTATTTTTACTATTTTGTACATTGTAGAATAATAGTGAAGACATCAAAACTATGAAATAACACATATGGAATCATATATTTACCAAATAAGTGTTAAACAAATCAAAATATATTTTAGATTCTTCACAGTAGCCACCCTTTGCATTCTCTCAACCTGCTTCATGAGGTAGTCACCTGGAATGCATTTCAATTAACAGGTGTGCCTTGTTAATTTGTGGAATTTCTTTCCTTCTTAATGCATTTGAGCCAAATTAGTTGTGTTGTGACAAGGTAGGGTTGGTATACAGAAGATAGCCCTATTTGGTAAAAGACCAAGTCCATATTATGGCAAGAACAGCTCAAATAAGCAAAGAGAAACGACAGTCCATCTTTACTTTTAAGACATGAAGGTCAGTCAATCCGGAAAATTTCAAGAACTTTGAAAGTTTCTTCAAGTGCAGTCGCAAAAACCATCAAGCGCTATGATGAAACTGGCTCTCATGAGGACCGCCACAGGAAAGGAAGACCCAGAGTTACCTCTGCTGCAGAGGTTAAGTTCATTAGAGTTACCAGCCTCAGAAATTGCAGCCCAAATAAATGCTTCACAGAGTTTAAGTAACAGACACATCTCAACATCAACTGTACAGAGGAGACTGCATGAATCAGGCCTTCGTGGCCGAATTGCTGCAAAGAAACCACTACTAAAGGCAATCAATAAGAAGAAGAGACTTGCTTGGGCCAAGAAACACGAGCAATGGACATTAGACCGGTGGAACTCTGTCCTTTGGTCTGATGAGTCCAAATTTGAGATTTTTGGTTCCAACCGCCGTGTCTTTGTGAGACGCAGAGTAGGTGAACGGATGACCTCCGCATGTGTGGTTCCCACCGTGTAACACGGAGGTGGTGGAGTGATGGTGCTTTGCTGGTGACACTGTCAGTGATTTAATTAGAATTCAAGTCACACTTAACCAGCATGACTACCACAGCATTCAGCAGCGATACGCCATCCCATCTGGTTTGCTCTTAGTGGGACTATCATTTGTTTTTCAACAGCACAATGAACCAAAACCCACTTCCAGGCTGTGTAAGGGCTTTTTGACCAAGAAGGAGAGTGCTGCATCAGATGACCTGGCCTCCACAATCCCCCGACCTCAACCCAATTGAGATGGGTAGGGATGAGTTGGACTGCAGAGTGAAGGAAAAGCAGCCACCAAGTGCTCAGCATATGTGGGAATTCCTTCAAGACTGTTGGAAAAGCATTCCAGGTGAATACCTCATGAAGCTGGTTGAGAGAATGCCAAGAGTGTGCAAAGCTTTCATCAAGGCAAAGGGTGGCTACTTTGAATAATCTAAAATCTAAAATATATTTTGATTTATTTAACACTTTTTTGGTTACTACATGAATCCATGTTTTATTTCATAGTTTTGATGTCTTCACTATTATTCTACAACGTAGAAAATAGTAAAAATAAAGAAAAACCCTTGAATGAGTAGGTGTGTCCAAACTCTTGACTGGTACTGTATATCAAAGTGATTTGTTGATAACTTGTAAATGTTTTACTACAACAATTGGGTAGTAAATCCTAGTCAAGCGCTTCAATACCTAGTGAAGAGCACTATAAACAGGCTATCCATTGTCATTGTCAACATAAACCAAGCAGGTGGGGAATTATTAAATACTGGACTGATTTATAAAATAAGGGCTCCTGTTTGTAACCGGGCAATGGCGCGGTGGTAAACGCAGGGACTTTGCAGAGGGATGTCACAACACATGGGAGATACAAGGACAGGGATACTACTTGTGTGTCCCAAATGGCACCATATTCCCTATGGGCCCTGGTCAAAAGTAGTGCACTATATAGGGAAAAGGGTGCCATATGAGACGCAACCTACATGTATTGAGGAAGTGTTAATACCTGTGATCGTCCCGGGGATTCGACAAGAGTCAAACATCCTCTCAAACTGATAGGAACAGCAAGGAACCGAAGACATCAACAACCACTGAGCGATAGAAAAAACAAAGAAATATGGGGAGGATAGAGGAGAGGAAACAATGGGATGACAGACAAAAACAAGGGACCAAGTGAAAGGAAAGAGAGGAATAACAACAGAACAGGTGGGAATAATGAAAAGGAAAGAGGTGAACCAAACAAATATAAAAGTGGATAGATAAAAGAGAAGTCAGTTAGAGGCAAGCCCTTTCCAGAGTGACGGCACAGACAACAGACTTGAAACAGGAAGGATGAAAGACAGTGAAAGATGACAGACCAGTTTTGTGGCGGACATTTTGTGACTGTGTGAAGTACAAACACCCCTCTCTTCATGCAATGGACAGGAGACCACACACATTACTGCAAATGTCCAGTCAGTTATGGTATGGCTACCCTCTCCAAATAACCCTTCCTCCATGATGAAAGGGGGGCTTGAGTAAAAAAGTTTGAAAAGCACTGTCTTATTTGAATGGCTACTGATATGTGTACAGTAAAACCTATAGGTCTGTGTTAATGTGTGCTTTGAACGCGAGGCATGTATTGTACATACAGGTACTGTGTTCAGAAGTGTGTATTGATGTAGATGACTCTACATATGTGTTTACCGGTCTCCTCTCCAGGAGTGCGTGTGGTGTTGAACATCCTCTCACACTGAGCTGCACACAGAGGAATGAGTTTCAGACCAGAGAGAGAGAGAGAGAGCGAGAGTTCAGACCAGAGAGCGAGAGAGAGCGAGAGTTCAGACCAGAGAGAGAGAGAGAGCGAGAGTTCAGACCAGAGAGAGAGCGAGAGTTCAGACCATAGAGAAGCGAGAGTTCAGGACCAGAGAGAGAGCGAGAGTTCAGACCAGAGAGAGAGCGAGAGTTCAGACCAGAAGAGAGCGAGAGTTTCAGACCAGAGAGAGAGCGAGAGTTTCAGACCAGAGAGAGAGCGAGAGTTCAGACCAGAGAGGAGCGGAGAGTTCAGACCAGAGAGAGAGCGAGAGTTCAGACCAGAGAGAGAGCGAGAGTTCAGACCAGAGAGAGAGCGAGAGTTCAGACCAGAGAGAGAGCGAGAGTTCAGACCAGAGAGAGAGCGAGAGTTCAGACCAGAGAGAGAGCGAGAGTTCAGACCAGAGAGAGAGCGAGAGTTCAGACCAGAGAGAGAGCGAGAGTTCAGACCAGAGAGAGAGCGAGAGTTCAGACCAGAGAGAGAGCGAGAGTTCAGACCAGAGAGAGAGCGAGAGTTCAGACCAGAGAGAGAGAGTGAGAGTTCAGACCAGAGAGAGAGAGTGAGAGTTCAGACCAGAGAGAGAGAGAGAGAGAGCGAGAGTTCAGACCAGAGAGCGAGAGAGAGCGAGAGTTCAGACCACAGAGCGAGAGTTCAGATCAGAGGGAGAAGGACAGGAAAAGAAAAGAGAGAAAGAAAGGCCAAGGGAAGGTACAGAGTGTGGGGGTAGGGAGGAGAGATGGGGATGGTATGAGACCATGAGAGGGAATGGGTTTCAAATAAACTGGAAAATCAAACCTCTACACACGGAGGGAGCTATAACAAAATGGACGGATGGATTGATGCAGCTCACACACGAACATGATCAGTCCACACCAGCACACACTCAAAATGTAAACAGACAAACACACATGGATGAGTTCATACTCAACACATCTTTCCTAGATCGGTATGTATTTAAAAGTAATCACAATAAAAACATGTACACACCTTGGCACAGGCCCATATGTAAAATGAGTTTAGAGGGTTTTGATTAGGGGTGTGCCGACATGGCCATACTCGTATCCGTAAGTTGTCAGTTGCTAGTCGGATCGGAAAAAAGTGTTTTAATATGCCTAAATAGATGTTGGCAAAATACCTCCCTGCACGCTGTCACTGCAAAAAACTCAGTCAGAATGGGCATTAGCGTTTCATATATTTTCCCCCTACCCTTGCCCCACTTGTTAGATATTACGCACATTGATAGCAAACGTCCTCGCCTTGTGATGTATCATAGTAGCAGGCAGCAGCAATCTAAATGATCAGACCGAAAACCTGCGAGGAAAAGTGCTCGGGTGAAATTATGAAGCGAGTGGACGGTGAAAATACAGGTTCACTCTATTCCAATCAGAGCAGCAGCATCAACATACAGCCCGCCCTGATCTGTACAGAAAGGCAAACTAGCCTGTTATTTAGACTATGCACATGACTGACTCAAAGACAGTATGGTTTAGAAACTCTGATTGGCTGACAGGAGAAAGATGCTTGCTGGCACTCCAAAAAAACACCCTCCGATCAAAAAAAATACTCTGATCATAATCGTATCCAGAAAATTGCCCATATCCGTTATGATACCTCTTTTGTCTGACTACTCGGCACACCCCTAGTAGTCAAATGAAGCTTGCTGATTGGTGCACCAAACCTACCGTGATCACACAGCAGCCATCGAGGCAATACCATGAATTATATATGGTATTCACTGAACAATGCATGACGTTCAAAGGCCAATGGTATTTTCATGCATAGGGCTCAGTTTTTCATTGGGCATCAAATGGAAGAAAATGGACAGAAACAGGGAGGACTATCTGGACTTTAAAAAAAGTATATTATATTGTAAAACGTTTTTAAACGTTTTCCATTGCGTGCCCTAATGAATATGACCCAGGTAAAACTCCAGGCCCTATCACGCGTTAATGGTGGAGGTTGACTGGTTGTTGAACTCACAGGCTTGAGCTCCTCTCTGTTGAGCTTCCTGCGGTACATGAGGAAGGCATGGAGGGTGTTGCCTGCCCTGGCAGCCTGGATGGGGGTGGGCGTCACATACAAGAAGTCCTGGGGAGAGAGAGGGGGAGAGACAGAGCGTGTGAGAGAAAGGGAGAGTGACCGTCTTGACAACGCAAATAAGCATTGCTAGTGACAAACCAGAAAATACTATTAGTATGTGAAACGCCTTCCCCATTTCCATGAAAGGTGGCAATGATTTATTTGAGAGTATTTCAAGTTTATCAAGTGCTTTTTGGACTGTAGGGGTACTGTTATAAATATATATGTTGTTTAATGGACCAAACCATGGTCATCGTTCAAGTAGAATAGGGAATCGTGTTTGCTCTATTTATTCCATTTCTATCTGCAACGTTGTGAACGTTTCACCTCACTGAACACACCTCAGCTATTAGCAGACAGAACGTGGGGAGTATTCGATAATTTGTTGATACGTACCATGCCGTAGTAGTTGCTGTTGACCATGATAGGGCTCCGTCCTCTCAGGTAGATGTACTCCTCCCACCAGTCGCTCACCTGAAAGGGAAAAACACACCACCAGGGACGTGTTCAGTAGACACAAAATGGACAACAGGGAGGTACCATCTGATGTTGTCCAATAAGAAATGGTTGTTTTCTTGATCCATTCCAAAATGTTTTTTTTACGAAGTACCCTAATGAATACACCCCATAGAAATCCTCTGTGACACAACCACGCAACATCCTGTCCAGGGCCACAGCCCTCACACACCCTCATCACATCCATTACAATGAATAATTCAAAATGGCCTCCGACAAAGATCTACATTGTTCATGAGATTTTTTTATGCGCATCTATTGTCATCAATGACTTAAAACATTACCAGCCGTCAAATCTTTGCTTCCTCCGACCTTTGTCTCACCTCCTGCTCTCTTAAAGCTCATTGGAGGAGAGGATCCAAGAATCCTCCATCAGACCTCCTCCAATAAGGAAGGCCAGAGGAAGCAAGGATTCGACAGCTCGTAACGTTTTTGGACACAGCCATAGCCAAAGTGTACATATAGGGGGTTACTTACGTAGTTGGAAGCCCAGAGAGCCTTGAGTTTGAGGTACCACTGTAGCCGGTTCCCCAGGCTGCTCTCAAACTGAGTGGCCAGCGACGTCATGCGTTCAAACTCATCAGGGGTCTTCAGCGGCCGCACCGACTCCAGATACTGCAGAGAAACGGAGAGAGGTGAACATTAAACACACAGAACATTATACTACTATATACATCATTATAACATTATGCAGTTGACACAGAACATTATCCCACATACAACAAAACTGAATGCACAGAGGGAATGTAACTAACGTGTGATGGGAGTATAATGGAGTGTTAGAAGTTCAGTAATACTGAGAGAGAGAGAGAGAGAGAGAGAGACAGAGAGGTGTAGAGAGACAGAGAGAGAGAGAGAGAAAGAGGTGAAGAGGTGTAGAGAGAGAGAGAGAGAGAGAGAGAGAGAGAGAGGTGTAGAGAGAGAGAGAGAAATCAAGCGAGCGGAGGGAGAGATGATGGCAACTTCCAACATGCGTTTGTCTTTGTCTAGAGGTCCCAACAACCGGAAGTTCCGGGTTTCAGGGGAAACAGAAAGAGAGCCTGTGATGCAACTTCCGCTTTTGGACATTAACAAAGCGACACTCCATCTTAACTCCTCCTCCACATTTACTGGGTTGGTTGAACAGTGCAAAAGAGAACCTCCCAACAGTTTTTTTCCTTCTCGTCAAGACCAGTATATAGGGGATGTAGTTTCAGGCGTTTCAGTGCTACGTTAGGTTAGTCTTTGTCAAGTGTGAATATCTGGTGAGCAGATACGTTGTATCTTTTGTAAACGCTTTTGTAAAATTCAATTCAATCTTTATTGAAATTCAGTGTCTCACCCTCTTGACCGTGTCTTTGACGGCCGGCACAGGCTGGTTTGGCAGAGAGCCCTGGTAGCTGTAGAGCAGAGGCTGTCTGCCTGAGAAGATCCGCACCAGCGCCTATAACACACACACACACACACACAGTCAGCCGGAGTCCGGGGGTAAAATGCAGCCGCTTTCTCAAGCTCTCCTACAACCACCTTGAAATACTACAGCTTTTAATCTAGCTAGCAGGGTGATTCTTTTCCAATCTATCTAATCACTTTTTACACTGATTGCAATGAGGTAGAAAGATAATTTAGACAAAACTAATTGAGAGGAGAGCTTGCAAGTAAGCATTTCATTGTACAATGTACACTAAGCTGTATTGTGTGCATATGACAAATACAATGATTTGATTTTCAATTGTTGGCAGGAATCTCTACAGATGCACGGTGTACACACACACACAGGAGAAGGTGAGGAAGAGAGGTACTGACCACCCAGACTTTGGTGGTGTTGGACATCTTGCCGCGCTGCTCGAACATCCAGCGGTGGTAGGAGAGCAGCTGCTTGAGGCACATGCGCATGGTGAAGATGAGGGAGAGCCAGAGCAGCGTGCTGAACAGCACCGCCGACACCACCGTCTGGCACTGGGCACTCAGAGACTGACTGGGAGGGAGGAATGAATTAAATTAGAGAATGAAAGAGGGGGAGAGAGGGAGGGAGAAATAGGGGGAGCGGGTCAGAGAGAGGAGAAAGAGGAGAGAGAGAAAGATTTAAATGATTTGGTGAAAACATCTGAGAAAAGGGAAATATTTTATTTCAATACCAGTCTTTAAGCGATATTTATAGACTTTGAAGACAGTGGAGTGTCTGTGCACGGTTGGTTGCTGGTGCTAGCTACCTGACAGGTAGGTGCTCCTGGATCTTGGCGATGAGACCCATGGAGGGGTCGGAGCGCATGTACATGGTGGCCAGGATGGCGATGACCACAAACAGCCAGGAGGAGGGACTGGCGGGGTACACCCCTGTTATCACACCATTCTGTTGGGGAAGAGGGGACAAGAGTTTGGTCATTAAGGCGGAAGAAAACTAACTGAAAAAGGGAAGGACTTTATGGACAAAAAAATACATACTTTAATCATTTTCGTTTTACGTTGCATGCCCTAATGAACACAACCCATGACACCCATTCAAAACCCAATCAACTTCCCAGCCATGTCAACACCGCATATTATTCAACGAGGGCGTTGGATAATGATCTTAGCAGCTACTACTACGGAACTTGGCCTGATTTTAAAAGCAAAACCCCACAATCTCCCCAAGCTTATCTCCAGCACTAGTGACGGGACAGACAGAGACACCGTCAAAGTTAAGATGGAGAAGAACAGAACAGGGATGAATGCATGCCGGCATTGAGTTGTGACAAACACAGCGCGTGTGCATGTGTTGGTACTAACGTGGGCACCCGGAGGGCATGTTTACCCAAACAGATTCGATAAATGTGACGCTGCTGGCCGTTTACATTCTAGCTCTCTACCATTCAGCAGTACTGTGACGTTAAACCTGACCTCTGCTGAACAGCATGACATTTAAGAGTGTCAGAGCAGTATGTTCCCTTTTGCCATTTGTGATATGATTATTATACACATCCAAGACATGGCATAGTAGAGACGTACGGATGCTGTTGTGCAGAAACCATGTGATGTAATCTAACCAGGGAGCATAGAGAGGAAGACAGGGGGGCATAGAGAGGGAAGACAGGGGGCATAGAGAGGAAGTCAGGGAGGCATAGAGAGGAAGTCAGGGAGGCATAGAGAGGAAGACAGGGAGGCATAGAGAGGAAGACAGGGAGGCATAGAGAGGAAGACAGGGAGGCATAGAGAGGAAGACAGGGAGGCATAGAGAGGAAGTCAGGGAGGCATAGAGAGGAAGACAGTGAGGCATAGAGAAGAAGACAGGGAGGCATAGAGAGGAAGACAGGGAGGCATAGAGAGGAAGTCAGGGAGGCATAGAGAGGAAGTCAGGGAGGCATAGAGAGGAAGACAGGGAGGCATAGCGAGGAAGACAGGGAGGCATAGCGAGGAAGACAGAAAGACAGACGGACCAATCTTAAGAGGCAAACAGAAGAAAAGGTGGTAGTGCAGTAGAGCAGACAGGCTTACAGACAGACAGATGGACCGGGAGGCAGATAGACAGGTGTACAGGCAGGCAATTAAGGCAGACAGAGTTAACTCGGAGAGCTAGTCTGAAGGGATAGCCTAGGCCCTACACTTAGCGGAGGTCAGGTTTAAGCATGTCAGAGCAATTTGTCCCCTTACAGACAGATAGATGGACAGGGAGTCAGACAGAAACAGATAAGCAGGCGATAAAGACCAACAGCGATAACCCAGAAAGCTTGACTGAGAATATGTACATTCAGGCTAGTTAGAGAGAGACATATACCAAAAGAAAGAGAAAGACAGACAGACATCAAAGAAAGACCGACAGGCCTACAGACAAGTTCAGTACCTTGAGGCGGATTAACTTCTTTTTCCAGGAGCGCAGGCCTGAGAGGTAGATCTCTGTGAGGGCCTGGTGGGACAGCTGCAGGTCGATGCCTTCCGGAGTCACCGTGAACTGGAAGGCCACGGCCTGGTGGGCTTCAGCCATGCCTGGAAAGAGGTACGAAAGGGAAGAGAGAGAGAGACGGGGCAGAGAGAGAAAAATAAATAAGTGACCCTCTTCCATACCATCTACAACTCTTTTACCTTAGCCTACAGTTGAAGTTGGAAGTTTACATACACCTTATCCAAATACATTTAAACTCAGTTTTTCACAATTCCTGACATTTAATCCTAGTAAAAATTCCATGTCTTAGGTCAGTTAGGATCACCACTTTATTTTAAGTATGTGAAATGTCAGAATAATAGTAGAGAGGCTGATTTATTTCAGCTTTTATTTCTTTCATCACATTCCCAGTGGGTCAGAAGTTTACATACACTCAATTAGTATTTGGTAGCATTGCCTTTAAATTGTTTAACTTGGGTCAAATGTTTCGGGTAGCCTTCCACAAGCTTCCCACAATAAGTTGGGTTAATTTTGGCCCATTCCTCCTGACAGAGCTGGTGTAACTGAGTAAGGTTTGTAGGCCTCGCACACGCTTTTTCAGTTCTGTCCACAAATCTTCTATAGGATTGAGGTCAGCGCTTTGTGATGGCCACTCCAATACCTTGACTTTGTTGTCCTTAAGCCCTTTTGCCACAACTTTGGAAGTATGCTTGGGGTCATTGTCCATTTGGAAGACCCATTTGCAACCAAGCTTTAACTTCCTGACTGATGTCTTGAGATGTTGCTTCAATATATCCACATAATTTTCCTTCCTCATGATGCCATCTATTTTGTGAAGTGCACCAGTCCCTCCTGCAGCAAAGCACGCCCACAGCATGATGCTGCCACCCCCGTGCTTCACGGTTGGGATGGTGTTCTTCGGCTTGCAAGCTCCCCCTTTTTCCTCTAAACATACCGATGGTCACTAAGGCCAAACAGTTCTATTTTTGTTTCATCAGACCAGAGGACATTTCTCCAAGAAGTACGATCTTTGTCCCCATGTGCAGTTGCAAACCGCAGTCTGGCTTTTATATGGCGGTTTTGGAGCAGTGGCTTCTTCCTTGCTGAGCGGCCTTTTCAGGTTATGTCGATATAGGACTCGTTTTACTGTGGATATAGATACTTTTGTACCTGTTTCCTCCAGCATCTTCACAAGGTCCTTTGATGCTGTTCTGGGATTGATTTGCACTTTTCGCACCAAAGTACGTTCATCTCTAGGAGACAGAACGGGTCTCCTTCCTGAGCGGTATGAGGGCTGCGTGGTCCCATGGTGTTTATACTTGCGTACTATTGTTTGTAAAGATGAACGTGGTACCTTCAGGCGTTTGGAAATTGCTCCCAAGGATGAACCTTGTGGAGGAGGTCTACAATTTATTTTCTGAGGTCTTGGTTGATTTCTTTTGATTTTCCCATGATGTCAAGGAAAGAGGCACCGAGTTTGAAGGTAGGCCTTAAAATCCATTCACAGGTACACCTCCAATTGACTCAAATTATGTCAATTAGCCTATCAGACCCTTCTGAAGCCATGACATCATTTTCTGGAATGTTCCAAGTTGTTTAAAAGGCACAGTCATCTTAGTGTATGTAAACTTCTGACCCACTGGAATTGTGATACAGTGAATTATAAGTGAAATAATCTGTCTGTAAACAATTGTTGGAGAAATTGCTTGTGTCATGCACAAAGTAGATGTCCTAACCGAATTGCCAAAACTATAGTTTGTTAACAAGAAATGTGTGGAGTGGTTGAAAAACAAGTTAATGACTCCAACCTAAGTGTATGTACTTACGACTTCAACTGTACCCATGTATGCAAAATTATCAATAAAGCTATACTGAATTCAATCGAGAAAAGGGGAGGAAATGGTGAGTTAAGCCTAATTTGTTTACTTTGCTAAAATAGTCTACAGTAGTGGTTCTCAAACCTCTCCTCAGGGGGCCCCACAGACGTTTCACAATATTGATGTTGCCCTTAACTAGCTCAGCTGATCACCTAATCAAGGGCTTGATAATTAGTTGACAAGTTTAAACATATTAGGTGTGCTAGCTCTGAAATAGTTCAATTACATGGAATGGCTGGGGGTCCCTGAGGAGAGGTTTGAGAACCACTGGTCTACAGGACTCACCAGGCGAGTGTCAAGCTAAAAATAAAATTACTCTTAAAAACGCCCACACCAGTAGAAATCCACTTTTTCGAGCTGAAAGACGATGGCCAGAGCTTACCCATGATGTTTCACAATGATGTAAGTCAATAAGTCATCGTATGTTATACAGTGCATTCGGAAAGTATTCAGACCCCTTGACTTTTTCCACTGTTACATTACAGCCTTATTCTAAAATTGAATAAATAGTTTCTCATCAATCTACACACAATACCCCATAAATGACAAAGCTTTCTCCCATTCTTCTCTGCAGATCCTCTCAAGCTCTGTCAAGTTGGATGGGGAGCGTCGCTGCACAGCTATTTTCAGGTCTCTCCAGAGATGTTCGATCGGGTTCAAGTCCGGGCTCTGGCTGGGCCATTCAAGGACATTCAGAGACTTGTCCCAAAGCCACTCCTGCGTTGTCTTGGCTGTGTGCTTAGGGTCGTTGTCCTGTTGGAAGGTGAACCTTCGCCCCAGTCGGAGGTCCTGAGCGCTCTGGAGCAGGTTTTCATCAAGGATCTCTCCGTACTTTGCTCCGTTCATCTTTCCCTTGATTCTGACTAGTCTCCCAGTCCCTGCCGCTGAAAAACATCCCAACAGCATGATGCTGCCACCACCATGCTTCACTGTAGGGATGGTGCCAGGTTTCCTCCAGACGTGACGCTTGGCATTCAGGCCAAAGAGTTCAATCTTGGTTTCATCAGACCAGGGAATCTTGTTTCTCATGGTCTGAGAGTCCTTTAGGTGCCTTTTGGCAAACTCCAAGCGGGCTGTCATGTGCCTTTTACTGAGGAGTGGCTTCCGTCTGGCCACTATCATAAAGGCCTGATTGGTGGAGTGCTGCAGAGATGGTTGTCCTTCTGGAAGGTTGTCCCATCGCCACAGAGGAACTCTGGAGCTCTGTCAGAGTGACCATCACCTCCCTGACCAAGGCCCTTCTCCCCCAATTGCTCTGTTTGTCCAGACGGCCAATTCTAGGAAGAGTCTTGGTGGTTCCAAACTTCTTCCATTTAAGAATGAGGGAGGCCACTGTGTTCTTGGGGACCTTGAATGCTGCAGAAATTTTTTGGTACCCTTCCCCAGATCTGTGCCTCGAAACAATCCTGTCTCCGAGGTCTACGGACAATTCCGTCGACCTCATGGCTTGGTTTTTGCTCTGACATGCACTGTCAACTGTGGGACCTTATATAGACGTGTGCGCCTTTCCAATTCATGTCCAATCAACTGAATTTACCACAGGTGGACTCCAATCAAGTTGTAGAAACATATCAAGGATGATCAATGGAAACAGGACGCACCTGAGCTCAATTTCGAGTCTCATAGCAAAGAGTCTGAATACTAATATTTTTTTAAATTGCAAACATTTCTTAAAAACCTGTTTTCGCTTTGTCATTATGGGGTATTGTGTGTAGATTGATGAGGAAAAGTTTTATTTAATCAATTTTAGATTAAGGCTGTAACGTAACAAAATGTGGAAAAGGGGAAGGGGTCTGAATACTTTCCGAATGCAATGCATTTGGGCTTGAAGTGACAACCGAACTGCCCGCTTCGTGCAAATTCGTGCCAATTGTGTGTAAATTATTTAGCCTTTGATTCGTTTCATGGCTGGGTTTTATTTGAATGATACCACCCACCAATTCCTGAGGTGGGCCTTTAAACACTGAGACAATAGATGCCTCTGAGCTCAGCTGAAAAGTGAGCAAACCAAACCAAACATTACGACACAGCAGCAGCAGACCCACGTTATCTATGGTCAGATCTGCCACTTCCACTTGAGGCAGGCCTCAGGTTCCAGTCAGTCAGTGGTCATCCAGCCTGTTCTACCTGTAATGCTCGAACTGTTATACAATCACCTGCTAAAAGGTTGTGTCAGCAGATGAGCTGCATTGTAACTAAAGATGGGATGACACTTGGGTTGCATCCCAAATGGCACCCTAGTCCCTTTATAGTCCACAACTTTTGAGCAGGGCCCATATTAGTGCACTATATAGGGCAAGGGTTCCCCCAATGTTCCCTCTAAGCTGCTCGCGGGCGCGAAGCTTCCCAGGGACTGCAGTGCAGAAGAAAAATCAGCCTGCGCAGAGAAGCACGAGATTAGAAAGCTGAGTGAAGTTCAGAGTTTTTCCCTGTTAGTTTACACTATCAACGTTTCCCTTCACTGTGGGAATTGTGATCAAATCAAAGAGATTTTGTTGTAGGCAGAGCGCATTGGAGTAGGATTCTATTGCATTGACAGACATGACTCTATCCCGTACTCTAGACAGACCGGCGCGCCATAACCAAATCAGAACTGCAGTAGGCCTATATGCAAATAGACCATTGCCATATATGAATCTGTGCCATTCACTTTGAACTGGACTGTTTTACATCATGACCGGTCGCAATTATTATGCACTTGTTTTGAGATCAAAGCGAGAAATGCTTGTAGCAACGTGTGCACATTCTAAATGAAATCAGACAGACAATTTTAACATCTACTAGCCCCCCCCCAAATAAATAAAATCAGTTCCAGTTTTCATGGTGTATTTCAGTCTTTCCTTTTAAATCTCCATAGAAATGGCCCCTCTCAACATTTACCAGTACTTCACTACATTCTTGAGTAGTGAGTGAATAACCTACACTCAAACCTGCATTTGTATAACCTAGGCAGTTGATGGAGTGAACCTAGGCATTACAGGTAGAACAGGTTGGATGACCACTGACTGGAACCTGAGGCCTGCCTCAAGTGGAAGTGGCAGATCTGACCATAGATAACGTGGGTCTGCTGCTGCTGTGTCGTAATGTTTGGTTTGGTTTGCTCTGAGAGGTCACTTTTCAGCTGAGCTCAGAGGCATCTATTGTCTCAGTGTTTAAAGGCCCACCTCAGGAATTGGTGGGTGGTATCATTCAAATAAAACCCAGCCATGAAACGAATCAAAGGCAAA